TCATTACTTGAATTATGGAATGAACACACCCTAAATTGGCATGGTTTTTTCCTCTCGAATCATTCTTTTATAATTTTATTTATATCTACTACTCTATTCTTTCTAAATAATATTAGGTACATTAATTTTAGATATTAACTTTTTGTACTAATTTTAAGTTGTTGCTATATTGTTGACAATTATTTAAAAAATTGACACATTAATTAATAACAAAAGATTGTATTGACCAATAACAAAATAGTAATTAAAAGTTAGCACAAGATTAGCCCAAAAATTTCTAAGTTGGTACGTTTTTTTTTCTGCTTTCTATAAGCTAGCAATTATTGATCTGCAGGTGTGGTTCTTTTTTTAATTTCTTAAAAAAATTTATATATATATATATATATCCAATAAAATCATTGGTAAATTATATTGAGAAATGAAACCATAAATGTTTTAATTTGTCGTCACCCTGAGAATTATTCATTCAAAGCAGGCTAGAATATGTATTAGAGAAACCATATTCTAAGTAACAACTGATCAAAAACATATGAGAGGCTTTCTGAACCCATTTACTTTAATAAAGAATATGGTATACAAATCTAAAAAAAAAAAAAAACTTGTATTTGTGCTTATTTGAATAATATACTCTATACGCAATCTGAAAAAAGAAAAAATAAACTACTCTAAGGTGATGGGGATATTATGACATATAAGTTCAACAAGTTAGCAATATGATATCCATATAAAAAAAAAAAATTAAAGAACACACGTAAATATATCTCCTAATTAATTATTGATTTGTTTAGATGTCATTATAAATCCCACGTTGATCTCCTATTAATATAGATACGTAAGGATAAATTCTGGTGGTCTTCCTTGAAACAATGATAACACACTAGAACTAGCTAGTAGATTCTTTCAAGACAAACTAATTTGATTCCTTTACCATTCAAGAATCATTAATATATAGACGACTTGGTGAGAATGAAGGAATACATGCGCGTTACTCTTCATGATCATAGTGTTTAACAACTTTTTTTTTTTTTTTTTTTTTACCACAGATAATATATTAATGGCAATGATTTATTTAACTCAAGCATCGAGTGCATGCTATAGGCACACAAACGTCTATTACTAGCAAAAAGGTTAGATATGATTATTTGTGAGAGCTTTTTACTGTAGTAAAACTCGAATTCTAAACTCGAATCAGCGAAGTGAACGGGCCCGTGGACCATTTTCGTCAACTCCCAAACTGTGGTCAACATCACTCGAGAAATAATCCATGAATTTGGTAAGTAACACTAGCTAGTAAGGAAAGAAAAAGTCATTGCACACACATATCGGCCTTGTTTACGGTCCCACCCAAGTGCACTCTCTCCCCAAATATAATATGTTATATGTGGAAGTGAAAACGTGATATTGTAATAACATACATCATTTAATATAATTATATGATAATTATTTAATGTAACGTTAATATTAGAAAGATGTAACACTAAGAAATTTAACTATTTCAGATTATTATTACACTTTAATTTAGTCGTTGAACATATTACGAGTTTTGGAAAGATGTAATAGTAATTGTAGATGATTAAATATTTTAATGTCTCACATTTTTAATATCGGTTACGTTAAAAAAAATACCAAGTTATATGTTTAACTTCTACATGTAACGTTAGAGGGACTGTCCTATTGAGGAAATGATAGACACATTACTGTAACAACTTGACTTCTCAAACCATTATTAAGCATGCTTAAATTTAAGTCTGAACTTGCTAAATTTTAGAGATTTTTTTTATTGCATAACATTACTTTAAAACTTTGAAATTACTGTTTCAAACATATTACATGATATTATCTAAAACCATAATAACAATAACTCGGACGGAAACTTAAATTCGAAAGGTAAATTATACAAGGACTTAAGCTTATAGAAACATACTAGTCATTCACCCTGCAACGGAAAATATTGTTGAATTATATAAAAAGTTACAAGTTTTTATAGTAAAGAATTAGTTTATATACATACATCTATATAATATTGTAGTTAAAAGTTTTTTTTACAAAGTATTTGAGCTTTTGTTTTTCTGTTTCTTTATTTCTTATCCATATTGTAATTAGAATATGCAATTATTTTAGCGGTAAGAAGTAAAAAATTATGTTTGCCCAAATCACCTATATCTAGTTAACTACAATATATTAAAATTCATAGTAAATAGTTAGGCAAATAATTTGTAATAACAAATTTATCAAATTATATATCTGCAATTATAATTTACTGGGAATAAAATAATATCAAAATGTCGACGGTCATCATACATTTATAACGGTAAAAATCTAAAATTTACAACGTTATGTATAACTATGTACAAAACAAATTAATATGATAAAGACAATACATAAATTAACTTCATGAACAAACAATACAAACAATATGATTCATGTCTCTATCTGTGTGTCTTTAGCTTCCTCCTTCATAGATGAACAAACAAATTAAACGTCTGTTGTAATATAATTTGGTTATATAAATTTAACCAAAAGAAAAAAAGAGAAGTTAAAAAAATCTAAAAAATATAGATAAATAAATAAATGAATGAATACACAAAAAAAGGAAAAAGGAAAAACAACAAAAACATGAATAAGGGATAAATATAGTTTTATTTTTATGTAGCAAATGTGGCTCATATATTCAGAATTCTCAATAATGTGTAACAAATCGATTATCTTATATTTTTATGGCCATTTTTTTTGCTGCCTAGATCAATGTTTTTCTTAGAATAAAAAACACTGATGGCAACTACACAAAAACACAAAAATTATTAAAATATTATATCTGCCACACAGATTATTATATGTATGTAAGACAAAATAAATGACTGGAGTAAATGTAAGATTTTCTAAAAACTGTCCGGTGAATTAAATGAAAACAAAAAACACCAACATCAAAAAAACAATAAAGCCTATCATTTCTGTCCAAGTAAAATAAAAGAAGTGGACAGAATCAAGGCATTGAATAAGCAATAAAGTCTAGAATTTCATTTGTTCCAAAATGATCGAAGAAGCCTAAACAATAACAAATGAAAAAATAATAAAAAAATTGATGATAGAAGTATACAATCACAACATAAGACAGGTAAAGACTCAAAAGCCTTCTCACATGGAAGTGAGGAAAAAAGAGATAAAAAGAGCAAACTGAATAATTCAAAATCAAACAATAAAACAAATGAAAAGGTAAAAAAGGTAAGGATGTTACATAAAGAAATAAATTTTGATTGAAATACTTAATACAGAAATACCACAAATCCAAAACTGATAGAGAAAGACAAAGCAAAAAAAAAAAAAAAAAACCAAAACTGTTGAATGAAATAGTAATACCGAGAAAGCAAGACCACCGGAATAAGTAAAAAAAAAAAAAAAAAAGAGCTAATGTATATGTAAATGACTTTTGAATGAATTATTGAATCTAAGAAAGTAAAAGCATCCGAATAAGTTAAAGGAATAAAAAAGAAATGGTCAAAAAGTTTTAATGAAAAAAATAGATATAATCATAGTTCAAGTGAAGGAGACACATTCATACTAATTTTTAGATAAATTATATTAAACTCAAAATGTCAAAAGTAATTGTGATCATTATCGCCATATAAAAAAAGTTGAAGGTGAAATATATCAAATAAACATATGTATGTACCAAATGAAAAACTCAAAACCATAAATAATGAAAAACAAAACTGAAGTTCTTTGAATGTAACAATAATGTCACAAACACAAAGCATTAGAATAAGTAAAATAAAACTAATATATATCTAAATAACTCTTGAATAAAACAGTAATGGAAAGTATCTAAAATCATTTGAATAAATGGAAACAAAAAAAGAGAGATAGCTAAAATTTTTTAGCCAAAATGGATAAACAAAATCAAGATTTAGTTGAGGAAAACATATCCACAACAATTTTTAGACATATTAGATAGAACTCAGTATATCAAAATAAATTATCATCACCATCGCCATATAAAAAATCTAACTTAAGCTAAAATATGTCAAATAAACATATATATATATATATCACAGAGAAATAAATAAACGCAAACTTAATATCTCAGCAATATTTAATAAAAAAATCAAAGAAGATAAGACATAAATTTCTAACATTTATTAACAACAGAACAATAATAGAAGACAATTTATGTGAGTGCTATATATCAACAACATTTATTAATAACATGACAGAATCAAATATAAACAAAAAAGAATAAAAACACAAACATCATAGATTAATATCACTACAGTAAACCAATACATTCAATATTGCCCACAAACATTAAAAAGATGTAGGCAAATGTTATTAATAGCACTTGGAATGCGCTAAATACTACTTGAACTGCAAAATATCAGTCAAACAAACACGAATAGACACACTACAAGAGGGCTATTAGCGATGGCAAAAAGTCGTTGCAAAAAATACAAAGTCGTCGCAAATGAATTTTTAGCGACCACTTGTCGCAAACCTGTCACCGCAATTGATTCGTCGCAAAAACAATTTTTGTAACGACAAGCAGTTGTCACAATTATAGTTGCGACGACAATCATCGCAAATGAACCGCTGCAATTATTTCGTCAGTTATATCGTTAAGATGACATGACATTGAGTATTTACAATTGCGACGACATTTTACGAATTAAGTCGTCGCAAAATATGCAGAATTAACTGACGTGACTTATATTTTTTGCGACCACATTTATCGTCGTAAATAATATTTTAATATTTTAATTATTTTTTTTCTCATTTTAATAATTAATATTGTATATTACTATATATTTAAACCCAATATTAAATATAATTCATGATATTATAATAATAAAGAAGAATTAAATAAAAGGAAATAAATAATAAAAAATAGAAAAAAAATTATTATTGTAGAAAGTAATTAATAAAATAAAAATGTAATTATATTAGAAATTTACAGAAATAAAAATTGTTACATTAATAAAAATATAATATCCTAAATTAGCAGTATCACTAAAATCATCATCGTTATCATCGAAATGATTCAGAGGCGGATGACCTGGACGAACATACGACACAGGAGGAGTAACCGCTGGGAAAGTCATGTTGGGGTGCATTTGAGTGATGAAGTCCTGCATTATTCTAGCGCTCTCATACAGCTGTAGGTTTTGTTGGTAACTCTGTTGTAAGTATTCTTCTACGTGTGGGTCCGAACGTGTCGTAAAAGATCTTGCCGAGCGTGAGCTAGATAATGACGCATCCCCTCGATAAACCTTTTGTGGGAGTGTGCGACCCACTCCAGTCAGTCTTGTGTCCTCTGCGGGTGCCCAGAAATTGCTCCATAATATCCTCCTTGTTAACTGCTCCTGTTGTAGATGATCTAGAAGTAGCAGACTGCGTCTGAATCTGCGTTCCTCTTTCTCCCTCCATCCGATACTACAAATATTATAAAAGAAAATAATTAAATACATAATGCGATTTAAATAAAAAAAATATAATTAAAAATTACGAGTATACTTAATATACGAACAGAAGCAGTAGTAAATGTAGTGATGAAATGATAAAGCAGTAAATGATCCAAAGTGAAATAGAGCAATAAATGATCGAACGTAAACAGGCATATATGAAACAGATTCATACACAACAACATTTATTTATAAATAACAGGAAGAAAATAGATTAAAGTAGTTTATAACTTATAAGAACATCACATGTAGCTGCACTAAGTCGGTCTAGAGAAACCTAAAACCTAAATAAATCATAAAGCAATACACTATTACAACAACATAGAGGGGAAAAAAAGGAAAAGAGTTTATTTCGGAAGAGTTCAAAGACAGAGTTGAAAGCTAAGCTCAAAGTCAACTTCTCAAGAAAATTTGCAGCCTTGGATTAAAACTCTTTAGTATAGCATGAATGAAAATAGAGGAAAAAAATAAAAATACCTCTTTGCCAAGTCGCTCCTTGACAAAAGTGGCAACTTGAGCGTAGTCCAGATTCAAAGAAAAGCTGCTCTTTCCACGCTTTCCAAACAACATGTCGGGTTTAACAACCAGTTTGGAAGATGAAAGCCAAGGCTCATTGTTTGCTAAGTCATTGAGATCGGTTGATTCAGTAATCTATGGCATAACAAAAAACAAATCACAATTTAATCAGCAAAGCTAGACACAAACACCAATCTAAAAAATTCTTCTCTAAAAAGAAAGAGAAAATAAAACTCTTTAACGGTTGACGAAATCAAAATTCTACCTTCTAATTCTGAATATGATGAACTATACCTTCTTAATCCTAAATATATAAGATAAATTAAGTTCACAACGAAGAAATACACAAACAAAACCAGATTAATCAAATTCTGACAATTGAAGTGAGATCAAGTGGCCATGAAAGTCACCATTACAAAAATGCAATAAAAAAAGCTAAAAGAGGCTTAACATTCGAGATCTATAAGCTAAACAGGAACAAAATCTAAAAAAAAAAAGAAAAAAATCAAATACTAACCTGAGCGGATTTGATTGGCAATTCACGGCTAGAGAGCCTCTTGAAATGCTCATTCAACAATCTCTTCGAATCTTACTCTCTAATCTTCTTGCGTGCCATTTCACCACATGAAATTTTTTTACCAAAGTAGAAAATTTCGTTTCAAATCCAAACCAAACCAGTCAAAGCAATCTCATTCCGCAAAAAAATTCGAACATAAACTAACCAAACTCGATCCACGAAAGGACAAAGCCATGAAAATACCAAAATCGAAAACCAAAATGAAGATCTAAAACAGCAAAAGTCGCAGTTTGAGAAGTGCAAATCATTGTTTAGAGAGAGAATCCGAAGAGCTCTGAGTTGAGACGATATAAGAAAACAAAAAAAAAAATCAAAATTTTAGCAAAAACACTAACAAAATTTGTCTTACCACGCCGGCATTGTTGTAGGTGGAGACGAAGAATTTCTGATCGGACAAGGTAATCTTTCGTGAGAATATCTAAATCCAAGAAAAAAAATCGAATCATGGGGACATAGAATTGGAATACGACCTGAAAGCTCCGATAAATCGTGTGGAAGAGACATTACCCTTGGCTTATAGAAAACAATAGATTGATATAAGCAAAAGCAAAAAAAGAAAAAAAAAAGTCATCAGTTATAATCTAAAACTCTAGCTTGATCATGAATAGCCTCAATTGATCATCCTTCTCATCAATTACCGCTCATCAACCAGAAAAAAACAAAAGAAAAAAAACTTTCACGCCGAGAATCTAAAAGCCATAAACTTTTCCACGCTCACTTGCCCTTTTGTTTCTCAGCAACCAAACAACAGATAAAATATTTTCCACCAAATAAATTTACTGAAAATAAAATCCAAAAAAAAAAAAATCGAATCATGGGGCCATAGAACTGGAATACGACCTGAAAGCTCCGATAAATCGTGTGGAAGAAAAATTACCCTTGGCTTATAGAAAACAATGGATTGATATAAGCCAAAAAAAAAATCATCAGTTATAATCCAAAACTCTACCTTGATCATCAATAGCCTCAATTGATCATCCTTCTCATTAATTACCGATCATCAACCAGACAAAAAAACAAAAAAAACAAAAAATTTCATGTCAAGAATGTAAAAGCCATAAACTTTTCCACGCTCACTTGCTTTTTTTGTTTCTCGGCAACCAAACAACAGATAAAATACTTTCCCCCAAATAAATTTCCAGAAAACAAAATCAAATTGGTGACTCCAAAGAATTGTAAAAATCAAGAATACCATTGAAAGTCATACCATACTTCAGAGGACGAAGAGATACTTACTTGAGTGGGTAATGAAAAGAATGAGGAGCAAACCAAAAGACCAAACCTTGAGTTGATGCTGAGATGATTCTCTCTCCCGAATCTAACGAAGAAACGACGAGATGAAGAAGAAGAAGAAGAATTCGACTCTCGCAAATATGATGAAGAGAAAAAGAAGAAGAAAAAAGAAAGATTGAAGGCAAGAGTGAAAGGGCCGGTTGAGTAAGACTAAGAGAGGCGGCGGGATTGGAGGGGACATTTGAAAAGGGAATTCGTGTCATAATTTGTGATTTGTTATAGTAATTTTTTTAAAAAAAAAATACACGTGTAAAAACGATGCATGAACTAAACGTCGATCGAAGAAGCTAAGGCCTAGGGATTTATGTAGACCAAAATGACCGAAAAGCCCGCCGAGTGTGGCTGTACTATAGAGGGAAAGAAGGGTAAAACCGTCACTTCACTAGGAACAGTAAATTATGCCTGCATGAACAGTATCCCTGAACTCTCTTTTAGTATATTTATAATGTTGCGTAACTAAATATTTAACAAACTAAACATACATAAATTACAAATTTAAAATAACAATTTATTAAAATCGTGGATCATTAATTTTTAGGATAACATGCAATTAATTAAATTCCTTACCATAACATAATAATATAAACTTAGAATTAAATCTGGAAAATCCTTATGAATGCAATATAGACCATGCATCATGCTGATGAATGCAATGTCCAGTACAGTCCAGTACATCAATACCAGTAGTACTTGTGCATTAAAATGTGATCTCCTTAAGCAATATTTACGACAATGTATACAAGGGCAAAGCCAAAAAATAATAAATCAAGGAAGTAATTAGGGGAATGTATCAAAAATTTCATTATAAGATTTCGCATATAATTATTAAGTACTGAGAGATTGCACATATTATAAGGTCCAACAAATATAAAACTTCATAATTTTAAGGAGAACAAACTATAAATTTCATCAAATTTCACACATAAATAAATTTAGAGTTAAATTACCGTGGGACAGCGGCCTACGTACCCTTAACTGTGGGTGGCTGCGCCCAGAGTACTTATACTGGACCTAAATTACCAGCTCTTACGTAATCTTTCTTTTCTTTTCCGTATTAAAGGAATTATTTTGGCATCGTATATAAGTTTAATTTATATCCCGTTATTCTGTTTGCTTACTACGTACATTTCTAGCTCTGTATGGATCAATGATTAATTTGCATTTAGCATGTAACCGTTGAAATTAAGGTATAGTTCAATTCTTAAATTTGAGTTTTTAATTCGAGATGAGATGTGATTTTATGTGAAAATTTTTTACTGTAGCAGAAAAATTAGATGTGATTTTTTATTAGAATTTTTAATTATAATAAAATTAAAATTAAAAACTCGAATTGGTAAAATAAATAATGCCTAAATTATTAATCATAGGAAAGTAAAGCAGTCAATGGAATGAACCAAAGTCAATTATTGAACCAAAGTCATCGCTCGATCCACTTCAAAAGATTTTTTTTTTCTTTTTTCTAATCGGCCCAGCTTCTCAAGAGCATCGACAGCTTCGGCCTTGAATTGGCCATGCAGGAAGAAGGTGCATTCCACAAAGCTGACTCTCGCTCTTCACGCCCATCTCCTCCTGCAGTTTCGCTTGCAAGAAAGGTATATGTATTATTGGAGATATACACACACACACACATACATATTATGCTACATGTATATAATATGAATATATTGCATGCGTGGATTCCATATAATATATTAATTCATTTTCCAAACTGCTAACTTCCTGTCTATTAATGATATGAGGAGTTGTGTGACAAGATATATGAATAAATGAGGAGTTTAACGATGTCGGATACTTATTACAATTAGACATTTTTTATGCGGACATAATTTTTTTTAATTTGATTAGTCTGTCGAGCTGTGTTTCGTGTTGTGACCCAAATTGTCAACTTTAATTATCAATGTGAGACTTTAGAACCCACACACTTTCATTTGGCACATCAAAGATTCATGTCGTACATACATTTAGAAGCATCTGGATCCCATTTCTGATGCCAATTGTTATAACCATGAGCTTCACTAAAAGAATATTAGGGTTCTAACTTAAAAGATTAATCTAGTGAGTGGAGTAGCTCATTCCCACATATATCTATCATGAGTCTCATTTATTGTCAATTTAGGACTTTGTTCGTACTTCCAACAAAAAGAATTATCACTTGAACAGAAGAAAAAGAAAATGATTAGATATGTTAATCACTTAAGTTTTTTTCCTCTTAAAATAGGGGAAAGCGACATACATATCAATGATATGTTTATCACTTAAAATGAAAAAAATAACACGGAACAGGTTTATCATTAAAAAGAAATAATTAATAGCGTTGTTTTCCATCTAACTTTACCTAGTGTTATATATTGACTCACCTACTCATTGGAAATTAGGATTTCACTTGTCTTATAGCATCACATGTCCATGTCTTTTGCCCTCTTGAAAGGCCAGTTTTAACTAGCTACGTGCATAGACCTAACATTATTGGCTCATAATCTTTGCGTGTACATGGTTTTGTTTTTTTTTTGTTTTTCTTTTTAATGAAACTGAATTGTATTACTAAAATCCAGCCATTCGGCACTTACAACTATTGCTAAGTAGGAAATTCTTCCAGTCAAAACAAATCTATACCAAATGAAAAACCATCTTGCACAAGTGTATGGAGCTGCCATGTTTGGACGACGAGAAACATAACAACAAACACCACCGCCTGCCAAATCTAATAGTCGCCTGATGTCTTCACAAATTAAACCGTCTGCAATTAATAAATTACGACGCTCGAACTGCATTAACATAATCACTTTCTACCATTGCCACTCTCAGACCACATTCCTGGGCTGCCATATTTGGTGTGTACATTGTCTTTTAGATTTATAAATATTCAATATCCAGACTAGAAGGGACTTGACCTTCAGACTGATTTTAATTTAAGTATTGGAAATTCAGCATTTTTTTTTTTTTTTTTTTTTTGTAGAATTCATCAAAATTCTATAGATTTATAATGACCTATGAAAAAAATGACCAAGTACGTAATGTATGGGGACAACATTTCCACGAAATTAATTTGTACACCTATATATTTATTTATATTACAAGGTTTTTACGTAATTCTTTTCCCCTTTAAATAATTATTTTCTTCCTTTATTAATTTATTTTTATGCTAAGCAGAATTGTGCCACTTTTGTTTTCCGCCCTTTCATAGACCAAATAATATGCTGCTTATCGGCTATGTGGTGTGATGTTGGACACGCTTTGCCTTATCGTGTGTGGATATGTGCCGCAAATCCACTACAAATATTAGAAGTGGAGCAATATTCTTACACTAATCTAAGCTAACATTGAGGATTATCATGCCATGCAAGAAAAATTATCAAATCTAAGTACCATAAAAAAGTATCTAATCTCAATGGACGGCTTGGCCCAAAAAAAAAAAAAAACCTTTCCTCAACATGGGCCATCACTTATTGTCTGTTGATACGATATTATATCTTCTCGAACAGTAAATAGTTTTGTCTTGCTCCAGTACTAGATTTGTGATTCTAGTCAGTCCACTATTGAAGAAGAAATAAATATGGAAGCTAGGGCAAGTCCGTGAATTGGGGCAACTATTATATATATAGAATTATTATTACTTCCATTGAAATGGAAACTCAATGAAGAACTAGCACTTGTAGATTTTTCCGGCAAAAAAAATAGCATATCCTTTTTGTTCAAAAGATTTACGGTGGTTTTGATCTTGTCTTTTTTTTTTTTTTTTGTTAATGTCTTAATTATTAATTATCTGGCAGACTGGAGGAAAATTTTATATTGTTCATCTTACTATATTCCAACTCTCAACCTCCACACCCCTCCCCCCAACATTTTTTTTTATATACATACATACATATCTTTCATCTTTCAATATATGTCAAAAGACACTTTCATTGTGTTTCGTCTCCCATGAGGACAAAATATTTTTTTTAGGGGACGGCGATGAAACGTTTCATCTTCGTACTTTTTTTCCTTTTATGTTTTCCTTTCTTTTTCTTGCGCCCTCTTTTTTTTTTCTATTTGTTTTTTAGTCCCTTTGTTTTCTTATTTGTTTCTTTTATAATCTTTAATTTTTTATTTTTTCTCTCACCTTTATTTAATCTTATTATCATTTTTGTTCCTATAATTTATTTTATTCAATTTTATTATCAGTTTAGTCCTTTTTTGGCTCTTTTTTTTGCTTCTTCTTTCATTTATTTATTTTTTGTCCCTCTTCCTTCTTTACTTGCTTTTTTAGTCATTTATTTTTGTTTTGTCTCTCACCCTTACTTAATCTTATTATCATTTTAGTCCCTCATTTTTGTTTTTTTTTCTTTTTCTTGTTTCTCTTCCTTTTATTTGTTTTTGAGCCCCCTTCCTTTTTTTAGCCTCTTTAGTTCCTTATTTTTGTTTTTCTCACACCATTACTTAATCTTATTATCATTTTAGTCTCACGTTTTAGTTTTAGTTTTCCTTCCTTTTATTTTTTTGGGTCCTCTTTTATTTGCTTATTTGGTCTCTCTCACTCTTTGTTTTTTTTGTTTTTTTTTTATCATCTTTATAACTATACATTCTTTTTTTGTTTGCTTTTCTTACTTTTGTCATTTTCGATCATCCTTTCTTTTTTTATTTGCTTCTTTAGTCCCTTATTTTTTATTTTTTTCTCTGATCACCCTCATTGAATCTTATTATTTTCCCCCAATATACATTCTTGCTTATCTCATCATTTTCATTCTTTTTTAAAGATTCTTATACGATAGTCTTTTTTGGATGCACTATTGTTAAATTGCTTTTCACCCTCGTGCTATCATTGAAATATTGTAACACCTCGAGAAATTAAATGAGATTAATTAAGGTAATTAAGATTTATTAGTATGTCTAATCTGATTTAATTAGATAATTATGTTCATTAAATATTTCTGACATGT